TATAAGATACATTTAAATTATATAACCATGAATTTAAGTCTGCTATGTATAATTTAAAAAAAAAGAAAGAATATGTTTAGGTTATATATATATATATATATATATATATATGTATTATATGTATAAATTTGTAATAAACCCTAAATAATCGTCATAATTATCGATGGTCTAGAAAGTGTAAAAAAAAATACATATACCATATGAGGGCGTTTTTTTCGAGAAAAGAAAAACCTTAACCTATATACTGTAAAAATCTTTACGACGTACTAGGAAGTTTAAACGGATATATGTATGTACCACCTATAAATGTACATATCGCAGCCGGAGGTAAAAAGCTGTACAAAATAAATATAGGAGTTCAGAGCGACAAAAAAGATAGAGATAGGTGTGCCGTTCGACGTATACAACGTGTTGAGATAACAATATTACTCTCGGTTAGAGAGAAAAAAGGGGGGAAAAAAAAAGAACCATACACGCATAGTATAAATATACACATACACATACCATAATAACATAATAATACAACAACACGCATGCACTATCCCTTTTTCGTGGTCTTTTCCAACCCTTGCAGTGCTCGGTGGCGGAGACGGGCAAAAGAGCTTCGCGGTTACACAGATAAGAGGAGTCTGCGGCGAACCAAGTTTCCTTCCGATACATTTCATTCCGTTTTTGCTGCCGGTCGAGATAAACGGCACTCGCAAAAAACGGTTCTCGGCCGAGTGGTGACAGCGTCTTTCCGCTAATAAACCCAATGGAATCAACGGTGCACTTCTCCCGCCGTGCCTCGTGCCACGACCAATCCTACTACACCCGCGGGTTACCGTCTATCGACGGAACACGATAATGTTATAATATTATATTAGATGCGGTACGAGATAACAAAAAACAAAATACCACGAAACGCGGTTCAGTATAAATTAAATAATTGAAACTCCGTATTAATGTATACCGGTCGACCAGTGGTAAGGTCGGTTCAACTAACAGAAACACTATGGTTAATATAGGGACACAATACATTTGTAGTTGGCCCAACTATACATATTACTTTAGTTGGCCCAACTAAATGTCTAGTTGCTTTGACTAAAAAATTAGCTGGCACAACTATTTAGTATATATTTCATTTAGTGTTTTCAACTAAGAATGTATTGTGTTTTTCTGTAAAGTGTACATAAGTATTGTATAAGTTTGTGTATAATTATCGAATCTATATTATTTGAACCGAGAAAATAAAAAATATTGTGATAATTAGGTATAAAAAAATATTTATTAAATATTACATTACCGCTGTATTTGATAGATAATTCCTGTAGACCACAAATATTACGTTACTCTATACTTCATTCCGTGGACATTCTTTGGCCAGTTTATAAATTATGATTTACTAATTAAAAAATACACAAGCAATGCTGCGGATCGCAAAATATATGTATCGACGGCGGCAGTGTTATTATAATTGAGGCGTTCAGTTATACAAAGTGCGTACGTGTAGCTATGTATATATTATGTATTATACTACAAGTATATTTTCTATTGCTTATACATATTATTACCTATATTTTATACGCCCATTTCGCATAATATACAAAGTGCCTTAATTATTATAAACGGGATGTTTCGTTGTGGCTGTATGTGATTCCATAAGACTCGCATAATATTAATATAAACACAGCATAGTATAGCTCCGGCCGGTACGTGCCGGCGTCCAAACACACTGGAGTTATAATTATTAAGCTAAGACCGTAATACATGTGAAAAATGATGTATAGGCCACGTCAATCTACACAGACACTCCGAGTGTATAATTATCGCGGAGTAATCCTTTCGGCGGCATTGTCTATAGAGTGTATGTATATGCACATAAAATACAATATAATACATACGGTCAGATGCAGAGCTGTGGGCCGGTTTTTTTTTATCCTTACTTAAGTATAAGAAGACTAATATATTAATACACTGGCAGCCAACGGGCACGATGATAATATTATTATTGTTATCATAATCCGTCGCGCATTTTATTATTGTACCGAAAGTAATCATGCCGCCTAACTGTGTCTTGGCGGGGCAAGAAGGAGGGAGAACAGAAGACAAAACATTATTATTATTTACCCTGATCGTAAATAAAATAACTTGCTTTTGTTTTCCATGAAACGATACAAATACATTGTAACTCATAATGCCATAAAAATAGAAATTTTCATGGAATAAAACAATATTAATTTCTTCTTTGCGATTAGTGATGATTAGGTATGGTATTTTATTAGATAGTAATGACAGTTTTATGATGTGCTCAAGCTATATGAATATTGTTATTTATTATTGAGTTAGAGGGCAAAATCCAAATAGTAACCTTAAGCCATATTCGATTAAACAATTAATAACAGAATAACGTAATACAAATAATCACAGCTAGTCGACAACAAGTTCTGAATGAATATGTCTTTGGTTACTACCGTTTAAACGCTACAGGTGATAATTATAAAAAAAAAGTGTTTGTTTAAGCCGGTTTATCGTGACCAACATTATTTTTACTTTTGCTCAAATTGGCCTAAGTCTATTATGTATATTTATAGTTGACAAAAGTCGCCGTCTGTAACAACCCTTTGAACTAATTTTTTAACATACAGATTGTGTACATTGTCTGTATATTTCGGATATTATACTGAAACAGCATTACGCGGGGCAATCGCTGTGTTTTGGGGTAGAAATATCCTAATCCAGATGTACAGGTCTTCCGTTTTTGGTGGTTTTTTTTTTCAATATATTATACATATTTTTTATTTTTTTACTCATCCGGCGCCGTATTTATGATTTTTTTTTTTTACATCAGCCCACATCAATATATGTATTATATTTTCCTGCCCTATGGCGGTGTCGGCCGTTGGCTGTACACAAATAGCGTGGAGAGAGGGTGGAAGCGAATACGTTTTGCATAAGCGTCAGGGGGATACGGCGGTGGGGCCGCGACAGCCGCTGTGAACAAATTGAAAACCGCTTAGTGTTTTAATTTAAATAGTGACGACACGTTGCGCAAAATTCCGTGGGTGACGTGCAATGATGTGTGCCCCATTTCATGTCCCCATGTTATGTGTATATACATGTATACTTAAGCACCCCGTGTTGGTCTATGCGCGTGTACTCGCGGTCATATTGTGTGCCCGGATTGGTATAATAGCCGTCTGTAGTCGTTCAATGATCGCAGTTCTACATAATAATTAGATAATACACATGTACAATAAAATATGTATGGCGAGCAACGGTCATTGGACCGGAAGCGGAGGCTATTGTTCGCGGGGTGTCAGTTTTGACTTTTTATATAAAAAGTACGACATTAATTTTGTTGATAATAGGTATTAAAAAAAAATAAAAATAACAATTATCTGTATAACGTTTGTTTTTGCTAAACGTTGTAAAAACAAGAACCTACGAATAGACCGTGTTTCTTTTTAGTTCAACGGATCTATTGAATATGATATTGTTGAACTATCCTACCACCCGGTCCTCCACATGGTAGTATTTTCAACTCGATTTGAGATCAACGGACGTTAATCATGCATCGTGAACAACGTCAAAAGTCGAATATGACGTGCAAATATAATAATAATATTGTTTTTTTATTTGTGTGTACATCACCATGACTACATAATATTGTATTAAAAAAAATCGAAAAAAATCTGTTCAGGGTCGTTTAAAATATTTATTTACTAACTGGTTTTTTTTTTTTTTATAATAATATTTTCGTTAATACATACCACTTATAATCAACACAAGTTTTTACATTTTTGACCTTGCGTCTTTTTTTTTTCTGCTTAAACTTTTAACGAAAAATATTATACTTGAAAATATAAACTTGAGTTTTTAATTTTGTGATCTTTCAACTTTGGTACAAAAAAAACCGTTATAATCAAACGACCATTATATTTTATCGGTATAAATAACACCGCTTAAATTTAAGGAATACATTATAATTTCAGCCAAAACACATTGCAAACGTTTGATTAGATTAGAAAATAGGTATATAAAAAAAAATAAGGCAGTTTTAAATAATTTAATTTTACATTTCATGTAAAAACAATTAGTAGGACGTACTATACTGTTTGTAAACAGTGTTAAACTATATCTCAAATTGTTAGTATGATAGACTGAATAGTTGTATTTGTATTATTAGATGTTTCCACGGTAATAAAATGGGGTTAGAAAACATTATAGCTTTTTAGCTAAGTGTCGACATTTTAAAATACAAACGTTAAAAATACATTTATAAGTATACATAAGTTATGAGAACTTTTGTAAGATGTATTTTTCGCCGCGTGCGCCTTTTTAATTGTCTCATTTTTGCGTGGGATTATGATTTTGGCAAATATCAAGTTTTAAAATAGAAAAGAGTGTACAGAAATACCTTTTAGTCTGCTTGCTTGTATAATATGTCGTATATATATATATATATATATATACGGCGTGGATGCTTTTAGAGTTTTGTCGAAAGCTCGCCGTCTCTTCTCGATTCCTGTGGGACAACCTTTGCCGTCAGATTCAAAAGAGCCCTGGCGGACGACGGCACCGGGGGGGGGGAGAGGGGGTACATATTATTATATAGCTTAAAGGTGTCTGCGGAGGAGACCTTTGAGATGGTTCCAAGTGCACCGCGTTTTGGCACGCCGGCGAGACCTTGTAAGACCCATGGCGACAGAGAAAGTGTGAAAGAGAGAGAGCGAATGTATATGTATGGGGTGACACCGGGTAGGAATATAGGGGCCCGGCGGAAATATTCAGCACTTCGGAATCGCCAACGGGCCTTCTGTTTTTTATTTCCTTTTCATTTGTTTGTGCACAAACCCGTTAACAGGAAGCCGCATTGTCGACCAACTCGAGCTATATGCGGGATGCCATTCAATAAGGTTAAAACTCTAATTTTCTCTAAAAAAAAAGTTAAAAGAATTTTTATTCAACGTTACACTATAACAACTTTTAAAACATTAAACTTTGAAATTTTAGTGTAGAGATTTGTTTGACAAACATCGTTGCCAACATATAAACTATAAATTATTAAATCAAAATTACAAATTCGGCAAAACAGTAATAATAACAATAATAATTATAAATCCAAAAACGCGCAAAACTACTTAAAAATGCATATAGTATACAAAGTATTAGTAGTAAAAAAAGTTTTCAATGTTTATTGATTGTATTGTAAAATTCTTATTTTTTGCCAAGTTTTAATTAATTTTTAAAAATATTTATTTAATAATTTTGTATAATATGTGACATATTATTTCGGCCAAAGTCGAAACCAGCAGTTATAATTTTAAAAATAACGTAGTCAAGATAGTGTAATTTACTATTGAACATTAGCCTAAATGCTGAATAATATTAAACTGAAAAACGGATATATTTTTGTTTCGAGTCTATTTTCCACTAAACGATGCTAGTCTATACCAGATGTTAAGTCGAATTTGATGAGATGTCGATCACAGTTTGTGTGCAATACTCGATAGTCAATATTATAATCCCGGAGTGTCTCTACAACAGTAATAATATGTTATATTATGATGTGTAATTGAATATTAAGCTCGGCGGCGGTTCATTCGCACATTATTATTATTATATAAATGCTATCAATTAGCGTTTTCAGTTACCACGTGCCACGGCCGCCGCGACGGTTGTATATCATGTTTATTGTGAACGCTATCTGAACGCGCATTTATTAACCGTTTTAAATCCCCCTCGTACACTTACATGTAAAATATAAATATATATATATATATATAAGTATTTTTTCCCCGTCGAGAGATACGCGACGAAATGAACCAATGAAAGAGGGTGCGAAGTGCGTGATTCGTATCGCGCGTTCTTTTTATACCTGTACTCCGTTCGAGTAGAAAACAAATCGAGCTTCGATAAAAAATAAATTCGTTTTTTCCCCACACTTTCCGGACCGGATACAGCGTTTTAAAATAGCTATCTTTTCTTTTTTTTTTTTTGTCGAGAATCATAAGACGCCACGTCGAGGCGACTCGCTTCAGTTATTTAAACGCTCGGCGGTTCTTCTGGGTAAAAATATAATATCTCATATTTACATAATAACAGTCCATACATAACAAGCCCTTATGTCAGTAGATTTCTAATTAAGATAAATAGATAAAAAAAACTGAACGCTAACACAGCTCTTATAAATATATTCTAAAAATATTTTCACATGTGTGAACAATCGATTAATAATTATACTTCGAAAGTAATAAACATTATTATACATATTTATTATTCTAATAAAATATTATCAATACATTTGCGTTCTTCACACGTTTAGTTTTATTCCAAAAATAGTAAAATATCGCGTTTTTTTTTTTAAAAATTGTCGCACCCATTATAAAGTCAGCACACGCCACTACACTGCCTATGAGGAGTTGTTAAGTATGCTGTATGGGTAATGTTTCGTCATGTTTTGTGAAGCTTAAATGTTCAAAGTCGTATGTATTCATAGCTAAAAAAAAACATATAGATACTCGTTTACAACTATACTTGTTTGATTAGCTACTTTTGTACAACAACGTGTTTCGCAGGAGATTCACATTTCTTTCGAGGAGCTGGGTGGCTTAGTATAAAAGTACATTAAACAAACAAAATTAAAGTTTTGAGACTATCCAAATTTGTACATTTCCGATTTTATCTACCATGTCTTTAACCCCCGAAATTAAAGCGCTGTGGCACACTCTTAACCGGACAGGCACTTTGGATTCTCTCCGGGTATCCGCGGTATTTTTCAAATATAAATTCTATACATTGCTGTCTGAAATATCAATTTGTATAGTATAGATCCCAGTTGATTTGACGGATTTTCGATATCGAGAAACGGGAAAACTCAGTGTGCGAAAACAGTATTTTTCTGAGCCACCCCCCCCCCCACTCAAGACTAATAAACCGGTTTATATACAATTTTCACACCTTGTGTTGTGGTTTCTCCGGTCTGATTTCTGCATCGAGCTGTCGAACTGCGGGAAAAAGTGGCCGACTCACTTTGGCCGCCACCACAAGTGCGCATACATTACCATTTACCCGGTATGGTCCTCTCTCGGGGTGATCACCCTTTGGTTAGGTTATATATATATATACAAACACCCTGGCGACAGCATCCGTCTTGCTCACCCTATACATGCGTAGGACGTGTATATATATATATATATATATATATATAAACGGATAGGAGACCGTGTATAATAGTAGTGCACGCGCTCGAGGGAAGTATGACGTCACATTAGCATATTTTAATAATAAGTTATACCTCACGGGCGTGTACAGGCGAACCGCGGTTAGGAACCGGCGTTCGGTCTAAGTTTGTTGCTTAACAGTAACATATTGTACACATCGAAAACGACTCTTACCTATATCGCGCGTTTCGCCAGCTCTCGAGAACCACCGTGATTTCCATCAAAACGCGTTTTAATACCTTTACATAAGTCTATATATATATATATATATATACGTGACACACCGGGGCATAACTATTCCAAAGTCACCGCGGGCTCGTTAGAAGCGTCTTATGCGGGACGGAGAGGGGATGCGCGACACAGTCGTGTGAAAGATTTGGTAAAGATAGAGAGGAAGAGCTAAAAGGGCGAACACGGTGGAATGCAGCGCCCCGCTCCGAAAAAAAAAAAAAAAAGGCTACTAATTAACAACGCACCTACCCAATCGTTGGAGCTGCGAACGGTTATTTTGACAATAATATATATATTATATTTATCCGAGTATACACTTGTACGGTTTTCCATTCGGTTGAATGTAACGAGGTGGTCGTCGCCACCGTGGGGGTGTTTTTGCCCGTGGATACGAGGGTCGGTCGCGGGGACCGTTTGATTGACAGCTCCGACTCTCGGGCAGGAAACGAACCAATGGCGGCGAGACAGGAATACTGATTAGGCCGGGCACAGCCATGTTTTTTGACGTGTCACGTCCACGTCGTACCAAAACGTCACGGCCGCGTTGTAGTTTGTTATTCGCCCCGTATGTATAGGTATGCTAAACTAAACAACAGCTGCTGTAAGAACGACTGCACAAGACACCGAATATCTAGGAAACCGATTCCTGTGTACAATATATATAATATGTGCAACCTCCGGGAAAACGTCGTCAAAAGGCAACGAGGTAATGGCGGCCGAGATATTATATGATGTGTATATATATATATATATACAATAAATATAACCGCGCGCTTGTCACTCGCACAGACTACAGTCGTGCATATGTCATGTAATATCACATTAATGTAACGTTGGCCATATGTGTGGAAAAAAAAAATCCGCAACTAAATCACATGATGAGTTTTTTTTGTTTTAAGACCTACAAATACGGTCCTATCCTTCACAGCAATTTGTAAACATTTTTTTTCTGTTTGTGGTTTGTAGAGTATTACAATACTTGTTTAAACAACGATGAAAGACATAATAAACTGATTCCTTAAAATATTTGCCATCAAATCTCAACAAAAAAAAAACATTACATAATATTAGTAATTTGAAATCGCTGTATAGGATAAGATTAAGTTTGGCACCTAACCTAATCTATTCTTACCGAACCCAACGATTAAGAAGACGTTTTACCTATCCCTAATTCTCTTGGATAAAAAAGTAAAGTGCGTTTCACTCGCTTAGTAATAGCTTTAATAATAAATCAAAAGATGACTTATTTAAAAATATTTCCTTAAAAATAATTTTTATATTACTTAATGAAAAAGTAAAACATCAGTGTGTTGCAATCTAACCGTCAATATTATTTAAATTATAGGTATTCCTCGTGGCTCAACATCATATAGTAACTGTTGTAGCTTTAAATTTTGTGAAAAATCTATATAAGGATACGCCTCAATTAACATTTTTTCTTAACACATTATCGATATAAACTACCTATTTTAATAACAATTGTACATAAACGTTGGCTCGTAAAATGTTTCGGTCTTTGTTGGTTTGATCCACTTACGCACCTTTGCAATCAAGTTGTTGTGTTAATAACTATGGCTTTGCAGTAGTTATAGGAATACATGGATGCGCGAGGCTTAGCCAAATTATTTATTAAAAATTAGTTCACTATAATAATATCATTGTAAAAATATTGTTCTATTATTTCTAGTTACTGAATTTACGAGTTAACGAAAAGTCATTACAATAAACTCGTAGGTAATAACATACTAATTTTCATTTAATTTCTGTAAAGTAATTTTAATATAATCTCTCATTCATTATCGTCGACGTTAATAATGTCAACCGTAGTAAAGCCACCCTGTATCCTATAATGTAATGTGTGTAATATTTATTATTTACCTGTATATTGTATACATATATATATATATATATATATGTAGGGTCCTAGATAGGGTATAGGGTATAGGAACGCGTGCATTTTAGGTGGCGACAAGTATAAACGGTCTCTCATTGAAAACGTCAAAAGTTTACCGAGGTCTTTGGCTGGATATTTTGATAAATTATCGCGCCCGCTTGTAACAACGTCGTCACCGTCGTTTTATGTGCAGTATATATATATATATATACATATGTATAGACTCCCCATATCATCGGTCGACGTGTGGTGTGCACCTCGTGCAGTGTATGGGCTATGGCAATAAACCCCAATATAATATAATATGTGTGTGTGTGTAAGTATATATATATATATACATATTATATTGTACAAGCGTAAATAGCTGCGGTTAAATTTGATTATTCGCGGCCCAATTCGGTTCTATTGATACCGTTATTCTACTCATACACAATACAATACAAAAGCATGTCCATTCATCTGGTTCACATGCACCCACAATTATTTGTATACCTACAATACATGTAATATCTATTTGTCTATGCAAATCTACCTTGATACATAAGAACTGCTTTGAAAACACTTAAATTCCATTATCAAAGGCTGTTCCGGCGTGATGTTGCCGTTGGGAAAAGGTCGAGGGAAAAAGAAATATGCATAAAAGTTTTTTTTTTACTAAGAACAAAAATCGAGCGCACGCGGAGGGGAATGAGAAAAAAATCAATGTAATATCATTAATCAAAAATTCTCTTACCGGTCCGTAAAAAAATGTATATATATATATATATATATAGAAAGGGTCTGTGTATAACGTTTGCAAGAGGGGATCGTGATTTTGTATGGGGCAAAAAAAAAAACAACAATAATTTATATATATATATACATACACACGCACACAAGTATAAAAATAAGGCAACTTTTCTTAACTTTATGTGGTGTCGGGGAAAGGGTGGGATGACTTTCGGATGTTTTTATATTGGAAAAGCGAAAGAAGAACGTTTGTTCGGCAGACAGAAACAAAAATGCTTTACCGCCACTCTGCCTTTACCGCACGCCTACACACACACACACACACACCCCCCCCCCTTTTCCCGAGGTTGTGTGTATGTATAATATGCCTCGGTGCCGGCTGACGAATGAAACCCAAAAACGGAACCCCAGCAAATGATGTCACCAACCCCTGTCGTGGCCCGCGTGCATCTGTGTGCTCGTGTATAAATAAAAATATTATATCTATACATATTTTCTCGTGTGTACGAGACGCTGTGTGTGTACGCGAGCCGAGACCCGACTTATTGTCATCCAGTCAAACTCTCGTTGCGTTTGCTCGGTTTGGCGATATTAAATTTTACCTGGCGACATATGGCCCGCATTACGGTATATATGAGATTTGACGATGACTGATGAACGGCTCGTCCGACCGTTAGGTTCACCCACTCGCTCATAATAATAATATATATATATATATATGTGTATAGTTGTGTGTGTGTGTGTGTGTGTGTGTATAAGCGTGTTCTTCTCTATGTCGTTGTCGTCTGGCGATGCCGAGGATAAAGAAAGATAGAGAGACACAGCCTTTGGAAAATCAAATTCCGCAGTTCTATATAAAATACCAGTGCTCGTCGCAAGATGCAAGCAAGACGCACGCTTCCCCGTATGTATATATTCCAGTGCACTCGAGTATACGCTATGCCCGTGTATATATTATATATACACCTACATTTAAAAGTCGGTATATATCGCATGAATTCTCATTATTGAAATATCCCCAAGCGGCTGGTGTGGTTTTTGGCGCTCAGAATGTTCGCTATTTGTCGAATGTTGATGATGATGGCAACGACCATCGGCGTAGACGCTAGATAGGACGCGGTTGTCTGTGCGTGGCGGGTAAAAATCAAGGTTTGTTTAGGGAAAAAAAACCCGAATAGCTTGTAATATACCAAATTTAAATGATTCCCCAAAACAGCGTTGTATTTGCAAAATAAGAAAAGATAAGTAATGATTGATATTATACTGCTTTATAAGGGTTATATAAACGCAGCGGTCAGAAGTACTGGATGACATGGCAAGATCCAAGTTGATAACCAAAGCAAACCGAATAAATGAAATTTCCAAAATTTATAATTTTTTTAAAAAACTTTCTTGAAATACATTAAATTCCTATCAGCGTTTTAGTGACTTATGAAATAAGTGTCAATTTGTTTTTTTTTCATTTTTACGCAAATTCATAACAATTTATAATGTAAAGAACGGCACGCGTCATAACAGAACTTGAAACGTTGTAAGTTGGTCTTTGAGGTCCAAGTGTTGTACACTACTTTTTATTTGTCGCTCTGTTGTGGCAGTGTGAAAATAATAATTTTGTCAGTATATTTTTATATCCGTTATATACGCGGTAAAGTTGATTTGTCGGCGTCCTCGTAACTAGCTCGTGATAAAACGCGTACGTATATTCATCATAATTTTTTTTTTTTTGAAACGGAAATGACGCGTTTAAAAAATGGAAAAAAAAAAATAACCTAACACGGCGTCGGCAACTTTTCTTTCTAGAAAAACACGTTTCGGTGACCGCAAATGGCGTACATATTATATTTATAATGTGCTAGTGTGTGATGGAAACAAATGCGACGGTGGCCTTCCCTTGTGTTGTTATCCGGCTGCCTCGTCATCGGGTCAAAATTTATCTCCACTTCGTCGGTCATTAGTAGGGACCGTACAGTGTAAAACCAATATGTTATTTTTTTTTTCTGTTTTCCGTTCTCGTTTTCTCGTCTTACTAATGTCATTTGTCAGATGCCAAGGCGTAAAAACGAGACGCCGCCAATGGGGTTACCACTCACACACTATTGTACATTTTAATCATATATTATGTACTATAGTCTATAATTATTAATATTGTCATTGTAAGACGGCACGCGATTGACACAGTTTCTCTGTAACAGTATTGTTACATCGTATATTGTGTTTCACTAATAATTTAAGTGATGCCGCCCGTTTTGACATTGTCTGTCCGTCTGTGTTGCAGAAAACGGATTGCCCAGGAGACTCCGAACCGCCTACACGAACACTCAGCTGTTGGAGTTGGAAAAGGAATTTCATTTCAGCAAGTACTTGTGTCGGCCCCGAAGGATCGAGATCGCCGCTTCCTTGGACTTAACCGAAAGACAGGCGAGTTTATATTATCTTGTTGGTGTTCTGCGAATACCATTCACCCCTATCGATGTTAGCGTTATCGGCAAAAACAACAAACTTTTGTTGATTCCAACTACAGTTGCACCTAACCTAACCTAGCCGATCCGTGTCAATAATTATATTTATATCGAGACAGCAGGTTATACACGAGCCTACGATGCTCAGTCACGGATCAATATCTATTTAATGCTCCTGTCTTCATACCTGCTTTAGTTGTCTTATGTTCGTTATTGGTACATAGATACATTGTAAGCGTTTACACGTTTTGAAATCGGGAAAATCTGTCTTTCTTAGCGATTTATGTGTGTTACACAATAATGTATTGTTATTTTATTTAACAACAATAGGCATATTGTTATTATATTGTAACCCACGAGACCGTTTCGGCTTGGTAAATCGTTTTACAGATAAAAAAAAAAAAAAAACCCCGAAACGGCCGTAACAAGCGCAGGAAACGACGGTAGTTATTGCAGAGTTATTTAATACACAGCTACATTATATTATATCATAAACAGGACCACACATCCGTCAGCCGTGCTGCGATTAAGATTATCCTTTTAATTTCGATCCGCACGGCAGACTACCGGATCGCACAAGTACGCACTATATTCATTAAGTACAATTAAATGACATTAAATTATAGGTCTTGACCGAACGCGTTCGCCTTGTATAATATTAAATCTGACCGTATACGAGCTGTTATTAATTATTGTTGTGTACCACGCACCGTTCGAGAGATATCAAATCGGTTTCCCAACGGACATCAGCGTTAAAAATATTTTCTATCATTATTTTTTTTTTTTTTTAGTGTTACCAACGACCATTCTTACCCCCCCCCCCCTTCATTTGTAAACATGTTCTTTCTCGGAACGCGGTAAACAACAGCGACGACGACAAAATGATTTCATTGCTTACTGGAGTTATACTCTTGTGTGTGAAAACCTTGAGTGAAACCCTTGTGGACTGACCGGCCATCGAAATACAACCACTGGTACTTATGATGAACTAGATTGCTACTAGTGTACACGAAAGGAATTAGAACCTTATCACGTGAAAATATGTTAATAACAATTTTATGTCAACTTGATAATAAACACATTTTCCCACAAAAACGGCGAACGTCGACGACTTCCATTCTTGTTGCTGGTTAGCAATCTAGTTCATTATGTATATTTCATGAAAAACCAAAGTTACCAAAGTTACAAAACTACAGTGTACCCACACTGTAGTGTGGTCCCTTCTGTTCCACCGGACCTTTCTGGGAAACGTTGCAAACGCGATACGTTCAATCCACTGCTGTTGTTGTAAGTCTGCGCACGCTTAACCGGTCGTTCCTAATTCGAATTCGACCGGTTATCGATACGCGTTCGACGTTTGGCTTTATTTTTTTTTTTTCAAAACGCTTACCGGCAAAAATACAAGTTTTTCACGTTTAACTACCCGACCGTGTCGCCAATAACAATATATTCGGGAAAAACGCGGCAGTTATCGCTGTGCTCGTGCAGCCATCGGCGGAAACGGCCATAGCCCTTTCTGCGAAACGCCTCCACCGCCTCCGCGCCCGAGTAAATATTATAATATATTATATTATACACGAGAACGCGGCCCTATTAAATTGTAATTTGTACGGAAAAATCGTGTCATGCTCCCATGGCCGTATATTATGTTTTGTTGTGTTCTGCACACGATCCGGGCACGTACAACCTGTGTGTACATGAATATATATATATTGTAAAATAATTACAATAGCAACGGGGTTTTATTTTTACCGCGGAGCAAACCGGAGTGGGCGGAGTATAACATTTTTGATTTGTTTTTTTGTCAGAAAGGGAACGGTCGCATATCTAAAAATAACTACCATATCGAGTATCGATGACGTGTCTCGTGTCACTGTGTCTAAAGCCCACAAAGGGCAAAATGCGATTTTCTTTATCATTTATACTCCAGCTATTCGTAAGAACCAGGCACTAATATGGCGTGCACAATGTATTGTGTTGCAGGTGAAAGTATGGTTCCAAAACAGACGGATGAAGCACAAGCGACAGACGATCAACAAGTCGGGAGAGGACGGCGACGACAAGGATTCGCAGAGTTCTGGCACGACCAGTAAGCACGGCGGTAAGTCGTCCGGGGGCGGCGACAAGCAACAGCAGCTGGACGACAAGAAGAGCTGTCAGAACTGTGACATGCCGCCCGGAATCATGCTCGACCACCACGGATCCCGGAACAGCGGCGGCGTAGGCGGCGGCGGCGACAGCAGCGCGGGCAGCGTCAGCTCTTTCGACACCAAGATGGAGGACGACTCGCGCAGCAACGAGGACGCCGTGTTGCAGATGCCGTCGGTCAAGCGCGAACCGTCCGCGGCCGCGATAAAGGCGGAACATATGCAGCAGGTGGTCGGCGGCAAGAAAGCGGCGTGCCCGAAAGATCCGTCCACCGGACGACTGCAGTTGGACATGATATCGCCGGACTTGGGAAAGGCGTTGAAAGCCGTCACTTCTGCGCCGTCCGTGGGAAGTCTGACGCCGTCCACGCCCGAGACACCGTCCACCGCGCTGTCCAGTCCGCTCGGGGCGGCCGCCATGTATCAGCAGCAGCAACAGCTCGAACACACGGCATCCACGTCACCGGCGGCCGGACCGCCCGCCAAGTCTCCTTACGGCCGCACCGACAGCGGCGGTCCGTACCGACAACAGCAGTACGGCGGCAAACAACAACAACAGCAGCAGCAGCAACACAACAACTTCGCCAAAGACTGCTACCTGTCGCAGTACCCGACAACGCAGGCTCGGTGGTACATGTCGCCGGAGACGTCGTCGCCACCGTCGTCGTACAAGACGGCCAAAATCGTCGGGGCCGGCGTCCAGAGTCCGGTAACCAGAGCTCAAACGGGCCATTGCCGTAATCAATACCAAAATTACGCGGCGGCGGCGCAATATTGCAACGGATACAGCGGTTACCAGCCGCCGGTAGGCGATGCGTACCAACAGCAGACGGCGGCAGGATACCATCAAGGTCGGCAGACGGCGTACCAACAGCACCAACACCACCAACAGACGACGGCGGCCGGTTACGACGATTACCATCATCTCAACTACGCGGGCACGTACCAGGCGACCGGTCACGGTTACGTCAACGGACACCATCATCACGGTCACCACCATCAACAGTCGCAGCAGCAACAACAACAACAACAACAATCGCAGCACCATCAACAGCATCAACTGCACGACGCCACCGCCGCCGCCGGTCCTTTATACAACAACGTGGATTATCACCACGGCGGCCGGTACAAGACTCCCGTCGGAAGCGGTCACCAGTATTACGATCCGGCCACCGTGGCCGGTGCGGCCGGCACCGTTCCCGCGGAATTGGACGTCGCTACCGCCGCGTTCGCCGATCAGTTCCACGCGCACAACTCGTCCGTGACGATGACGCCGCCCAACAGCGTGCGGGCCGCCGATTCGTCCGGCGATCAGTTTAACAGTTTCCATCATTTCTACAACAACAATAATAATAACAACAACAGCGTACCCGAACAACATTGTCAGGCACAGCAACAACAGACCGGCGGCGTGGCCGTGGCCGCTACTGCCGTCATGCCAGTGGCCGCCGCCCATCACGTGGCTCATCACGCGGCCGACAACAGCAACAGCTCGTCCGACTTCAACTTCCTCAGCAACTTGGCTAACGAGTTCGTGCCCGAATACTATCAGCTCAGCTGAGATTCGCCTTATTACTAATTGTCGCTAAGGCTTGACAACTTATGTGCAATGGGTTTGGCAAAAAAATGTGTTTTTTTAAATCAAAATTTGTTTTTTTTCTCGTTGGGCTTTTGTGTTTGTCTTATGTCACAAAATTTAATGAAGGATAGGATTGGGACTTCAACAGTGATTTTGATTTCAAAATGGGGTCTCTTTTTAGTTTCGGTCGAAACTGTTTATTAATTAGCTTTTAAGAACGACAAAGTTAGACAGAGGCTGGTCCAAGAGTAAATCCACCACTGTTCCTTGGCTTCTAAGGACCTTGTCTAGTACATTAAACGTTCATACCGTTCAAAAAGCTCACAATACATATAACAAACATTTATATTGTTTTCGTTGTTTCTAAGTCTTTTTTTTTTTTTGTGTTTTGGTTGTTACGTTTAATTTTTGGTTAACCGGCTACGAGTATTTATTATAAAACAATTTGTATTCACCGGTCAAATAGTATGTCGAATCCAAAACCAGTTATTTCAAACTTATAACAAAAAAAGCTTATTTCGGAGTTATCTCTATTGAACTATTCGACTTGTGGTTACATACAATTACTAATTAACTTGTCTGTTATATTTTTTATTATTAAGTATTTTTAGTATTGGTCGTAGAAAATAGTATATTGTATGCCTACAAAATAAACGAGAAATCGATAAATATCGAAATCGTACATAATTAAAAAACTATGTTATTGTTGATTAAATTACTTTTTACGTTATTATGTATCTAATTATATAATTAAATGTACATTTCCCACAAGGCAGCGTGCATTTCAAGCATAAAGAAAATACAAAGATAAAAATTAAAATATAAAGTGTAATTATATATTAATTCTCTAAAATATATTGTAGTATTGTTTATTTTTATGTGTAAATCATGTTATATATTATTATTATTTTCTTGTACAGAAAAAAAACTTATTATGAAATTATTAGAGAAATTGTTGTTTTGTGCAAATAATTATATATTATAATATCATATTATTAAATTAACGGTCACGTTTTATTTTTACGATTATTATTATTATTTTAATATTATTATTTTATTTTGGTTTCGAATAAACTCGACGGCGGAGAGTTGCGGGAAAAAATACTATTTTAAATAATATAATTGAACTTGTGTAAAATGTATGAATATATATATATATATATATATATATATATGTATAATCTATTATGTATATTATACGTAGGCAATGCTCGTTTTGTAAATACCATTGCAAATAAATAAATGAACCTTGCAAAACGATAATAATAGTCAGTGACGCATCCGGAAAATGTTGTGGTAATTTTTTTTTTGTACAATGGCAATCGCAAAAAGAGGCCAACCGTTGTTATCGTACAAAAAAAATACACACTGGATAATCTTAATGTTCAAAAGACGTCTACAAGTGTAACTTACAATAAATCCACTTACCGGATACGTCACTGGACCAATAATAGTAAAATAAATAGTGGACACGGTTGCAATAAGATTTTGTTTATTATTATTATTATTATTATTAAATATCGCTGCTGTATTATTATGATTAATATTACTAACGTTTGTAGTTAACTTATTATTGAGAAATATACAAATTTGACAAATATTTAAACACGGCTGATTTGTTTTATCATCTATAATATACAGTTAGGTGTTGCGGCTACGGTATAACGATACCGTTATGTCTATTAAGTTCAAACTTTTAGCGCCAAAGACGTTTTCCACGCAGATCATCCGACATCGTTAATGCCATCGAATCGTTCCGGTTTGTCTTCAATCATCAACATACGGTGCGGACCACACGCTTAGAAACTTTTGGCCGGTGAGCCGTCAAAGTTATTAGTTGGTGTAGAAAAAACGTCCAAAACCCAAACCTATATATTTTATATTCGTTCAAGTGTGTGTCATAAAAACAATGATAGGCTAACTGATTGCTGTATTTTTTTCGGTTAAACACTCGACGACACCAACGTACGCCTAAATAATTTATAATCTCCGGCATGGAAGTAAGTAAATACATATGTAAGTAAGTAAGTAAGTGTATCGATTGACAAGATTCACGCGAAGATTAGGTCAATGGGTTGTGTCGTATATATATATAATGTTATTGTTATAGATGTATATATATATATATTATAAAGAGACCGAGGAAGGAGAGAGAGAGAGAACGACGGTGGCGGATGTATCGCAAATAGTACAGTGGTGTAACACACAGCAATATGTCACGAGATTTTGATTAATGGCCGTCGGCCGGCCCCGTTTCACCCTTAACTTTTTTTTTTTTTTTTTGTTTCTACCACCCTTCTTTTCTGTATACACCACCGCCGGGCTCGAGGGTCTTTTTTCGAACGATCACAGCGTGCGCCGGTCGTGTGAGCGAGTACACGCGGCCATCACTTTCGACGGGTTCGCTCGACGAGCACACACCCGGTATATATTATATACTTGTTAAGTATATCTGTTTGTGTGTGTATGTGCGAATAAGGTCTAAACAATTAAGAACCGAACACAACCCAATGTGTAAATATAACTGCGAGAACTTATACCCAGGTGAGAAATTACCGCAGCGTTCGAATTGAAAAGAAAAAATGAAATTTGCTGCACAGTTCTTTAAGTTGTCACAACGATTAAAGCAAACTTCTTCAATACCCAAAACGAAAACTCAAAGATGTCGTAAACCATAGGAGAATCAGTTTATATCAATCTGTGTCAAGTTATGGAAGATTTTTGTAAAAAGTCAGTTTTTTTTTATCGATTTCGACTTAACGTAAATCTAGTCGGTCCAATTGTAAAAACTGTTTATCATCTCATTTTTTTACATGCTTTTCTTTAACTCGCGTTAGGTTAGGTTAAAGTTTGTACGGGTATTTTTCAAATCTTGCAAAATTAATTTAGTTATCTATTCGAAATTATTAAGTACTTTTAATAGGACTAAAAAGTAAAAATTTAAATAAATTTAAAAAATGCTCTTCTAAAAAATAGTAAAAAAGTAAAAAATTTTTTTTAGTCATTAGTTGGGACAAATTTAATATATTTTTAAAAAATATAACTCCATCTCTTATTTGTTTAAACCATATGAACTTAAGTTTTTTTAAATAGTAACGTACACATTTGATTAACTTTTTAAATTAAGAATAATTTGCTAAACATTTTGACTTGTTGATAACCAGTTTTGGATAATTAATTTTAAAGTTTGGATGGGAGGGGAAGTGCGGTTGAGTAATGCGCGCAGATAAAAATATATCTACACCCTTTCTCCTGTCCTAAATTTTAAACTTTCATAACTTTGAAACTAATTATCCAAAACTGGTTATTGACCAGTCAAAATATTCAAAAAATTATCCTTAATTTAAAAGTTAATACGTTACCATTTTAAAAACCAATCACTCAGTATTTTTTCTGTGTTGTCGTTCGTCGAGCGATTGTCTATAATTTAGTTTTCTACTTGAATATTTTTAGGGTAACGAACAACGGATTAGGGCATTTGTTCCTGTTCACATTATGCTACTTATTCATAAGGTAAAAAATTAAATTAACATTTGTACAGCAAAATCACTCCATTGACAATATTAATATATTTTTTTTTTATTATGGACAAACGTTTAACTGTATCTACCACTAACAAAATATGTATCCTTTAATAGACAAACGGCAAACCTAATAATGTACTCTTTATTATTTGTATATTCAAATAGTAATTTGAGTATAATAATATAATATTCGAGTGGTGCACTTTAGTTTATAAACCTTTTATGAGATTAAAAGCAAACGTCGACTTTGAAAGGACAAAACGTCTTTTACAAGTGAAATTTCTACCGAGAATTACTGTGTTACCGGCTTAGGCTGTCAATCTGACGCCTGAGTGATTGACCGTAGAAAAGGCAATCCACTAATGAATTACCAACACCGCCGCAGGGAAAATGCATGCCTCTGCACTTTTTGATTTAAACTACAAGTAGGTAAACACATCCTGGCTGCTTACAAAACCAACACTATGTGTATAAAAGAAATACTACCTATATATCCGGCCTATACCTACTATATGCTGCTGCTTGGAATATTTTTACAATAATATTATATTATTGTAACAAATAATATCTAACTTAGAATATATATTATGACTAAATCGTGCTAAATAGTTTTTGCTCCAACGCTGTATGTGTAGGTGTACAGTACTTATTATTTATAGTTCCGAGACCATCTATACAGTATATAGTATACATAAATAATATATATATATATATATACTTAAAATGATATGAAAATATTTAAAAACTTTTAAGTTTCCGCTAACCGACTCCCTTGGCATTCGTTCAAACGGGGCAAAAGTAATTTTTTATTCCAATTCTCCGCCGCCTCGCTCTCTTGTTTCACGTGGCATATTTTTTCCGCCACTTATAACTTTAAAGGGTTTTAAAATGATGTTTTTTCTTTGACTTTCTTTTTCGTTTCTTCTTCTTATTTTTCAAATTACATTTGTGTTTCAAGATGTTGTTTTCAAATTTCTCGCTTTAATCATTTTCTCTCTCTCGCCATAGCCGATGGTGCATGTATACATATATAAATATAACGTGTACTGTACCTACAGCATAGCATTTACGTTATGTAAACGATATCGCGGTTGTCAATCAAGTCCTGAGGGGAAATCTCTAAGAGTGGAAAACAATGTCATGTCCTCGGCGCTTTGGCGGGGCGAGAGGGAAGGTAAAAAAAAAAAAAGGTCGCCGTCCCTTTTATTCGATCGACGAATTCTTTTTTCGAAACTGAGAACTTTTAGACACTCACTGCTGTGGCGGGATTACAGATCTAATTTCTTTTTCCGTTTCCCTCTTTAATCGCCGCCGCTGTGCGAACAGAGTACCTTTCACTGCCGAGACGGTTTTTTTTTCTTCTCACTTCCGCTCCAGCAAACGACGGTATATAGAACGTACCCTCACCGTCGACCCTCTTGTCAAGATATCCACCTCGAGACAGCCGCCCACGAGAAGAAGCGGCGAATAGCTTTCCTTCGGAACGTCCATGTACGTGACGGGACCTCGGACACGTTTTTGTTTCAATTTTTCCTTAGATACATACTACCTAGAAAAATACAACATGTATGTGTTTATTTAGCATTTAGGTGCCCGTCCACGACTCGGCGAAAACCTGTAGCAAAAATAATGACGGTTCTTGGACAGATTAGACCTACTCACCTATGGATATTGTAAAAATAAAAGTTGAAACAATTTTTAAAAATAAAAAGGTTGTCAATAAAAACTGAAATAATGAACACCATTTTATTTGCATTTGAATAAATACTCAAATATTATTTTCTGATACATTTTTATTTTAATATAAAATTTAATTTTCCACGGGTTCTACACTCGATCACAATCGCTCTTTTTGACCGAACTAGGTCTACAAACAGAGCCTACTAAATAAGTCCAATGGAGTAATTTATTCTTTATCTAATTAAATTAAGTCAAATGGCTTTAGACGTTTGAGTTGTCTGATGTCTTGCGAGCTGTGTCGAGAAGTTGTATGGCTACTGTGTTGGTGTGTGTAGCTCCAGCCTTTTTACATGTTGGAGAGCAAAGT